ACTCCAGGTACTTGCAGACAGAGTCTATCCAGAATCACAGTGTGGATTTCGAGCTAATAGATCCACTACTGACATGGTATTTTCCGACAGTTGCAGGAGAAATGTAGGGAACAACAACAGCCACTCTTTGTGGCCTTCATAGATCTCACAAAGGCCTTTGACTTGGTTAGCAGGGACGGCTTTTTTAAAATACTTCCCAAGATTGGATGTCCACCTCAATTCCTTAACATCATCAGGTCCTTTCACAAGGATATGAAGGGCACTGTAGTTTTTGATGGCTCAACATCAGATCCCTTTGATATCTGAAGCGGAGTAAAACAAGGCTGTGTCCTTGCGCCGACTCTGTTTGGGATCTTCTTTGCTGTCATGCTGATGCATGCCTTTGGAACTGCAACAGAAGATGTCTATCTCCGACTAGATCAGATGGAAAGCTCTTTAATCTCTCTAGATTTAAAGCAAAGACCAAAGTCCAACTGAAATGCATGTGGGACTTCCTCTTTGTCAATGATGCAGCTATTGTTGCCCACTCTGCTGAAGACCTCCAACAACTCATGAACCGTTTCAGCAAGGCCTACCAAGACTTTTGACTAACAATCAGCCTGAAGAAAACACAAATCATGTGCCAGGGTGTGGACTCAACTCCCTCTATTACTATCTCCACGCAAGAATTGGAGGTTGTTCATGAATTTGTGCACCTTGGCTCAACAATCTCTGACACACTCTCCCGGGATGTCGACCTGGATAAATGCATTGGGAAAGCAGCTACCAATTTCTCTAGACTCACAAAGAGAGTGTGGCTTAATAAGAAGCTAATGGCACACACCAAAATCCAGGTGTATAGAGCCTGTGTCCTGAGCACACTTCTGTATTGCAGCGAGTCCTGGACCCTCTGTGCACGGCAGGAGAGGAAGCTGAACACCTTCCATATGCGTTGTCTCTGACGCATTTTTGGTATCACCTGGCAGAACAAAGTTCCAAATAGAGTAGTCCTAGAACGAGCTCGAATTTTTAGCATGTATAAATTACTGAAACAGCGATGTCTATGTTGGCTTGGGCATGTCGTGAGAATGTCTGATGGTCGGATTCCAAAAGATCTCCTGTATGGAGAATTAGTGCAGGGAGACCGCCCCAGAGGAAGACCACAGCTGTGATACAAGAACATCTGCAAGCAAGATCTGAAGGCCTTAGGAATGGACCTCAACAGATGGGAAACCTTGACATCTGAGCATTCAGCCTAGAGGCAGGTGGTGCATCATGGCCTCTCCCAATTTGAAAAGATACTTGTCCAGCAGGCCGAAGGAAAGAGGCAGTCCCGAAAGAAGTAAAACCAGGGAGCTGGACAGGGGACAGATTGTATTTGTCTTCAATGTGAAAGAGACTGTCACTCTCGAATTGGTCTCAGCCACACTAGATGCTGTTCCAACTCCTCCATACAGAGCACGATACCATAGTCTCTCGAGACTGAAGAATGCCTACTGAATGCAGCATCGATAACAGAAGGGCTACCTGTGTGATCAGCAACTCTATCTTAGGCCCGTGATTTTACAATCAAGGATTTACATACAAATAATGTAGCAGGTTGGAAAACATAAATGCGTGGGTTGAAAATCTTGTCAGTTGTGACTGTTATGTAGTCAATTTTAAAAACTAATTCCTTGCATCCATTTTACAAATGCTAGCAAATCACTATAATGACAAGACAAATTACATTTCAAATAGTTATTATATACGCCAGAAACATATTTCAAATACTCTTATTATACATACCAGAATTATGTTTACTGGTAATAAATAATACAATAAAGAGTAAGATACCCACAAAAAACAGGATCTTCTAGCACCTTAAAAAACCAAGAGATTTTACAGACAGAAGTCTTTGAAGAAAAAAACTGGACAAAAAAAGAGACAATTAAATGCACAAGATTCATTTCTGACACTGTTAACTGATTCTATGCAAAGTTCAACTGCCTCGAGAATGGCTATAAAAACCTCCCATTGTCCTCAACAGAGTAAGTATTCATTAAATAACCTTTTGTAACACAGCCAATAGTAAGTTATTAATAGTGTTCTTAAAGGAGAGGAACAGAGATAGGGGACACCTAGATTTGTTATAGGGATTTCTGGATTCCTGTCTCTGTCACTGACAACTGATGGAGCCATTGTAGATAAGGGGGCAGTTTGTAAGCAGGAGTAGACGCAACCCTTGAGATATGAAAAGTAACAAGCCCCTTTGCTATGTATTGAGATCATGTGAGGAACAAAATTTACCCAGTCTCAAAACGAGCTTTAGAAGAACTGGGAAGGAAGTTTCACACTTGCAGATACAGTGTCTTATTAGCATCGTAGTTCCATGAAGATCTCATATCTCAGTCTCTATAGGGGGAGGGATAAACACTGATTCTGGCTGACTGCTAAGGTCCTTCCCCAAATAGATACAGCCTGCAATATAGAGTTCATGCACCACATGTCTGACAAAATTGAGAAAATTGATCTATAATAAATTTGACAGTCTTGTGGTTCTTTTAAGAAATCTTATTATAGAGTAACAAAGTGTGGTATCTAAAAAGTAAGCTGAAGTGTGGTATCTAAAATAAGCTGAAGTGTGGTATCTAAAAAAAATAAAACACTTTGGAATTACAAGGTTCCCAAAGGCTTCCTCTGGGCAAAAGGGAGCCTTATGGAGACTTAGGACCTAAAATGAGGGGATAAAGTAAAGGTAAAGGTTCCCCTTGACAATTTTTGTCCAGTTGTGTTTGACTCTAGGGGGCGGTGCTCATCCCCGTTTCCAAGCCATAGAGCCAGCGTTTTGTCCGAAGACAATCTTCCGTGGTCACATGGCCAGTGCGACTTAGACACAGAACGCTGTTACCTTCCCACCGAGGTGGGCCCTATTCTACTTGAATTTGCATGCTTTCGAACCGCTAGGTTGGTGGGAGCTGGGACAAGCGACGGGAGCTCACTCCGTCGCGTGGATTCGATCTTACGACTGCTTGGTCTTCTGACCCTGTAGCACAGGCTTCTGCGGTTTAGCCCGCAGTGCCACCATGTCCCTAAAAAATGAGGGGATAGGAAGTTTTTAATTAGGGTAAATTAAATGTTTCCTGCTTATTTAGGTTACATCAACCCAAAGCTGTTC